CAAATATTTTAAAATAGTTAGTAAAGATGTATACTTGAATGTTCTCAACATGAAGAGAAGGTAAATGTTTGAGGTGACAGGTATGCCAATTACCTGAACTTACCATATGCACTGGATACATGTGTAGGAATATTACACTGTAACCTATAAAAATTTATAAATATCATGTCAATTAAGAGGCTTATACTCTACTGACTGAGCTGGCCAGTACCCTTTATGAGTTAACTAAAAAGAAAGAAATCAGATAGGCCTGAAAACAATGGAATGACATATTTATCTATCAAATAAACTGAAAGAAAAACATAAGTCCAGAATTCACTTAGTGAAAATGTCTTTCCAAAATTAAGGCAAGAGTTGTTTGTTTGTTTGTTTGTTTGTTTAGTTGTAGTTGAACACAATATCTATCTTTCTTTATTTTTATGTGGTGCTGAGGATGAACCCAGCTCCTCCAGGCCAGCGCTCTACTCCTGAGCCACAACCCCAGTCCCTGGGCAAGACTTTTTAGACCAAGAAAAAACAGAAGAATTGTCAAATTTCTACTATAAAAAATGTAAAGGTCATTTTCTACACAGAAATATGGGTTTAAACAAAAAGAATGCCAGAAACAGCAAATATGTATGTAAATATAAAATGCTTTTTCATTTATAATTTCTTCAAGAGACAAATAATTGTTTAAAGGCAAAATAATCCCAAAGCACTATAGGATTTATAACAAATGTGAAATGTTTGCTGCTAAAAGATGAAGGCGAATAGTGGAATGATCCTGTTGTAAGGGTCTTAGGTTATACACATAAGTGTTTACCATTAGTTGAGGTAGATGGTAATAAGTTAATGATGATACTGTAAACTCTAAAGCAACTACGAAAAAAGAAAACAAGGAGATTCAGTTAATAAATCAATAGTAAAGATAAAATAGAATTATAAAACATTCTTAGTTAATCCAGAGGAAAGCAAAAAAAAAAAACAGAAAAAAAAAAACAGAAAAAAAGGAATAAGGAACAGAAAGAATAAATAATATGTGGTAGATTCAAACATGATCATATATATTAGTAATTACATCAAATGTAAAAAGCCTGTATTTTCTAATTAAAAGGCAGAAATTATCTGATTGGATAAAAGGTCAAGCCTTGGGGCTGCAGTTGTAGCTCAGTGGTAGAGCAGTTAACTAGCATGTGTGAGGTACTGGGTTCAATCCTCAGCACCATATAAAAATAAACGAATAAAATAAAGGTATTGTGTCCATCTACAACTAAAAAATATAAATTCTCCCAAAAATTGACTTTAAATATAGGGACACAGAGGTTAAAAATAAAAGATTCAAAAAAATACAGAGTAGAAACATAGAAGAAGAAGAAGAAGAAGAAGAAGAAGTAGTAGTAATAGTAGTAGTAGTAGTTATGTTAATATTAGACAATGTAGATATCTGAAAAAGAAATATAACTGGGGGGGGGGAAGTGACATTACATTATGATAAGAGTCAATTCATTAAGAAGACATATTATCCTAAGTATTATACATGTAACAAAAGGTCCAATTTTTGAAGTAAAAACTGAGAGAATGTGAAGAAAAAGTTGCCATCATATGTGGAGAATTTAACATTCCTCTCTCAGTACAGTCATCTCTTTAAGGTAGAGGGGTTGGTTCTAGGAACCCCTGTGGATTCCAAATCTGTGGAGCTTAAGTCCCTTATATAAAATGGTGCAGTGATTTGCATATAATATATGCACACCTTCTATATCACTTTAAATCATCCTTAGATTGCTTATAATACCTAACACAATATAAATGCTTTGTAAATAGTTAGTATACTATATTGCATAGGGAATGACTCAATTCTTTTTAGAATAGTTTTGATCTACGATGGGAGAACGGAGGACAAGAAGAACCAACTATAATTAATATGATAAGTAAAATGAATATTTGTTCAGAACAAAAATAAACAAGAGGGGGCTGGGGTTGTGGCTCAGCGGTGGAGTGCTTGCCTCGCACGTGCAGGGCCCTTGGTTCCATCCTCAGCACCACATAAAAACAAATAAACGAAATAGAGGTATTGTGTCCAACTACAATTAAAAAATAAATATTAAAAAAAATAAACAAGAGCAAGTAAACATAACTCATTTCACCTCTTAATTTATAAAATTAAGTCTCAAATTATTAAAGGAAGGAGAGAGAATAGCTTAGATGTAATGGAGTACTGAGAACATAATATTTCAGTCTGAAATCCTGAATCATCACCAAAAATAAATGTGACTAAAATACTCACAGGTACTTCTTACCATACTAGAGAAAAGTATAAATCTTACTAAAGGATTAAGCTAGGTTACTGAGAAATGTGAGCCACAATGGCTGTTACAGAAACAATCTCTTGATTCTGTGTATTGTAAGTCACTATTGCAATTATTTAAATATTTAGCAACAATGGATTTATAAGTGTTTGAAAGGACAAGGAAAATAATTTTTGAAAATAATTATGTTTGCAGAGTGAAAATTGAGCTTCTAGGTGAGTACACAGAAAGTAAAACTAAATTTCCTAATTACAAAGGAAACTGCCAGTTAGATGCCAATCCCAAGTATATAAATTCAGCTTAGGAAGCAATATCCTTTATAAGTCAAAGTATAAAATACCATAATAAGAAGCAAGATATACTATCCCTTTGTATATCCATGGATTTCCTGGAATTTTCTTTAAGAAAATTTAGAAATGGACACATTAAAAAGTTAACAGAATTTTAAAATGAAACCTTTACTTTTAAAAAAATCATAATTTTTTTTTTTTTTTTTTTTTACAAGCAACTTAATTCCCACCTAACCCCAAGTCACGAGTTCAAAGCCAGCCTCAGCAAAAGTGAGGCACTAAGCAACTCTGACACTGTCTTGAAATAAAATACAATAGAGCTGGAGATGTGGTTCAGTGGTCAAGTCCCCCACAAAAAAGACCTCAAAACACAAGAGTCAGTTTGCTGGCAATTCAGTTATACCAAAGAGAAATCCTTCCTTTCATTGAAAAGGTGAAAGTACAATAAGATATTTTGAGCAAGACTGCATTTACATTACTTTCATTACAGTATATCATTCTATTTTATTATTAGTTATTATTAACTTTACTCTGCCTAATTTATAAACTAAACTTAATGACAGAAGAAATAGGATTTTTGAAAATTGAGGTATAGTTTATATATTATAAGGTTCAACCTTTAAAAATATGTAATTCAGTGGTTTCCACTATATTCACAAAGATGTGGAGCTATCACTTCTCTATCAACTCCCCGTACATACTCATCACTCCAAAGGAGACCCCATACCGATTAGGACTTTGGTCCTAATTTTTAAAAAAATTTTTTTAAATTTTTATTATAGTTGTTCAAAACATTACATAGCTCTTGACATATCATATTTCATACATTTGATTCAAGTGGATTATGAACTCCCATTTTTACCCCATATACAGATTGCAGAATCACATCGGTTACACATCCACGTTTTTACATACTGCCATACTAGTGTCTGTTGTATTCTGTTGCCTTTCCTATCTTCTACTATCCCCCCTCCCCTCCCATCTTCTCTCTCTACCCCATCTACTGTAATTCATTTCTCTCCCTTGTTTTTTTTTTTCCCCCACGAAGATTAACATTAAACAGGGACGAGAGGTGGGAGGGAAAGGGAGAGAGAAGGGAAATTGCATGGAAATGGAAGGAGACCTTCATTATTATACAAAATTACATATAAGAGGAAATGGTCCTAATTTTTAAGTGTGATAGTAAGCCACTGAAAGATTGCAGCAGGAGAGACTGGTCTGATTTATATTTTTAAAAAGATTATTTAGGCAGCTATGTAGAAAATGGATTATATAAAAGTAAGGGTGAAAACAGGGAGACCACATGGTCTTTTGCTATACTTAAGACAGGAGATGGTAATTGAGTTAGGGTGGTGGTAAGGGAATAGAAAGAGGGAATAAGTTCAGGACACAAGCATTGGCATACTGATACTCCAACAGTTGATTTGGTAATCAAGATGGCTACTAAGTGACTATCCTGTGGGTAGGCCATAAAGACTATGGGTACACTGTACAAAGGATTCACATCCTATGCAGGGGGTTGGGGGTACAAGCAGGATGGCTTGAGATTTTATCACATTATTCAAAGTGGTATGCTATTTAAAATGTATGAGGTTTTCTTTCTTTTTTTTTTTTCATTTAATATTGGACTATAGTTAACTATGGGTAACAGCAACCACAGACAGAGTGCCTACTCTAATTCTGTCAGATACTCATTTCTAATGTACTACAGTAACAGCCACCCTTTCCTGGAAGCACCAGTTGGGAGTAAGGTTGGGGTGACAGATGAGAGCAAATTTAAGTAATAATACCACAGACTCACAGTTCTTACCCAAAGTTCAAGAGTTTTTAATGAATACTTCTCAATTTATTATTTGCCTCTGGTCAATTTCCCAAGACCTGAGTTTTTGAGGAAGAAGATTTGCAGCTTCTTTACTCCACCATCTCTAGAAGCTGTACCTCTTCCTGACTATAGTATTTACAAGAGAATGAGAATCCACTGTGATACAGAAAAATAATAATAATGATTTTGTTGGTTGTTTTCGGTGTTATTTGAGCTACTAGGGATCAAAACCAGGAGCATTCTACCTCTGAGCTAAATTTCCATCCATTTTTAAATTTTGTTTTGAGATAGGATCTCACTAAGTTACTCAGGTTGGCCTAGAAATTATTAGAATTAACATAATGCCTCTTGAAATAAGGTTTAACTTTCTTTTCTTTCCTCAAAGCAACATAATGTACAAATAACAGCAAAAAACATCTTTTTCAAACAAGCCACATAAGAAAAATAAATAATAATCCTACTCTTCACTAAATCAAAGTTAATATTACATGTTTGGACAAAATAAGATTTTAGAAATTTAAAAAACTCCAACACCAAATACTAAGTCAGACAAAGAAGAGAAATCACTGTGTCTTATTACTAATTAAAAGTAAAATAACTTACCTCTATAGCAAAAATTCCTTTGTCACGCCCATATAATTTCATCTCTTCTGGAAAATGCTGGAATGCATTTATGTAGGGAATATGGCCCTCTTCAACAAATCTATATTTTTTAAAAGAAAACATTTCAGTTAGAACTCGGTATTGACTTGAACTCTTTCTGAAAGTCTCTTATTTCAAAGGGAAAGAATTAGCTAAGCATATTCTGTCTCCCACATATTTGTTAAGGATAAATCCGATGATATCTATTATTCTTTGTATCCATGTGTGAGACTATTTAGCCAATTATCTGAGTCTCTTAAAACTTCTGATGAAATAGATTTAATACATCTAGGAAATATGGGTCTTCTCTGTTAGCTTACCACCAGCCTTCCCAGCCTAGCATTCCTTAATCCTTAGTTCCTGCTCATCTTGTCAATCACTTCTTTAGGGAGACCTTCCTTGCCCCCTGTTTTCCTTATCCAACCTTCTGTCCCTAACACCTATCCCAGTGCGTGGCAGATGCTAGTCGCTGAAGGAGACCATTAAGGAAGGAACCTTGTCAGTTTGCTCACCACTGCATCCCACTGTCTGGTAAATAGCAGGAAAACGGAACTGGATGAAAAAAGCACACACATATATAAACAAATATATATATATATATATAAACATACATATATACATATATACACATATATATTTGTTATTTATATGTATTTTTATTTATAATTCTTTCATTCATTCAACAGAAATGTATTGGGTACTGTATATCCAACACCACCCTTGACTATGGAAAGTCAGCAGTGAACAAAACAGGCAAAAATTCTTTTCCAGTGGAACTTACACTCTAGTAAAGGATGACAAGCATAAAATCAATAAAATCTACAGTATGTTAGGTAGGAGAAAGTATTAAGGAGAAAAATAAAGCCTGGCAGGAGCACAGGGAGTGGGAATGGGGGTCTTAGATGTAAGGTTCCTAAACAAGGAAACTGTTAGGGAAGTAAGGCCAGGTGAGGAATGAGCACACAAAATCCATGGCCTCAGTGCTGCTGCTGGAGCAGAGCTGGCATCCGTCACCTTCCAGCAGCTGAAGAAAGACTGGTCCAAGATTAGTTTCAAATTAAAAATGTGATTTAACTTTTTAGTTTACTGAGAATTAAATATTTTATGTAAAAATGGTGTTAAAGCCTCCCCCAATTAGGTTTTCATTAGTTTCTTTAGTTTACATAAAAGTATTTGTGCATAATAGTCAGCATTCATATTAATCTGGATCTACATTTTTGATCTGAAATTATTTTATATTCAAGGTGTAATGTACGCCTACCACTTTTAAAACTACCTAGAATTTCATCATGGTAATATAGTGATAATTTATTTAGTTTTCACCTCATGGGATAATACATGCTAGTACTCTGTGGACGGTTAGGAGCTGAGAGATGAATAGGAGATGGTCTGCCTACCCCCAAACATCAGACAGCCTACAGACAAGCCAGGAAGCACACTGCCATAAGTGCCACCAGAGGGGAACACTCAGCGTCTTAGGAGCAGAGGAAAGAGAAACCTGCCCAGGAGAAGCAGACATGCACTCCCCAAGCAGATCTTGAGTGTCTGGAGTTTTAACAGTTTGTCACCATTTATAAATAGGGCTGCTCTTAGCCTCTTTCAAAAGTTTATTTTTCTTTTCAAATTTGAATTTTTATTCATTCATTCATTCATTCATTCATACATACATACATACTTTTGGTACTGGGGACTGAACCCAGAGGCATTTTACCACTGAGCCCCATCCCCAGTCCTTTTTTTAAGTTTTGAGACAGGGGCTCACTAAGTTGCTCAGGGCCTTGCTAAGTTACTGAAGCTAGCCTTGAACTTGCAATCCTTCTGCCTTAGCCTCCCAAGTTGCTGAAATTACAGATGTAGAAAAAACTAAGGATAGCTAATGAATCAAAATTCTGAACAATCTATTTTCCTCAGCTGTTTCTCTGGATCAACCTAGGAAGTTGAAGAGGAATTCGCACAGACTAAAATCTTCCTGTATGACTCTCCTGACCAATAGATTACTATGTTAGCCACATCCCCTGGACACTGTTTCTATTTATAATTTTACTGCACTGTTTGAAGTTTCAAACTGAAGGACTGGAAATTTAATAAACTGGTCCTTGGTTGCAGATCATGTGAGAAGCACATTAGAGCCGGGTCCTGAACTTATTCCCTCTTTCTATTCCCTTACCACCACCCTAACTCAATTACCATCTCCTGTCTTAAGTATAGCAAAAGACCATGTGGTCTCCCTGTTTTCACCCTTACTTTTATATAATCCATTTTCTACATAGCTGCCTAAATAATCTTTTTAAAAATATAAATCAGACCAGTCTCTCCTGCTGCAATCTTTCAGTGGCTTACTATCACACTTAAAAATTAGGACCATTTCCTCTTATATGTAATTTTGTATAATAATGAAGGTCTCCTTCCATTTCCATGCAATTTCCCTTCTCTCTCCCTTTCCCTCCCACCTCTCGTCCCTGTTTAATGTTAATCTTCGTGGGGGAAAAAAAAAAACAAGGGAGAGAAATGAATTACAGTAGATGGGGTAGAGAGAGAAGATGGGAGGGGAGGGGGGATAGTAGAAGATAGGAAAGGCAACAGAATACAACAGACACTAGTATGGCAGTATGTAAAAACGTGGATGTGTAACCGATGTGATTCTGCAATCTGTATATGGGGTAAAAATGGGAGTTCATAATCCACTTGAATCAAATGTATGAAATATGATATGTCAAGAGCTATGTAATGTTTTGAACAACTATAATAAAAATTTAAAAAAATTTTTTTAAAAATTAGGACCAAAGTCCTAATCGGTATGGGGTCTCCTTTGGAGTGATGAGTATGTACGGGGAGTTGATAGAGAAGTGATAGCTCCACATCTTTGTGAATATAGTGGAAACCACTGAATTACATATTTTTAAAGGTTGAACCTTATAATATATAAACTATACCTCAATTTTCAAAAATCCTATTTCTTATTTGACTTATAAAGGCATGCCTATACCCTGCTTATCAAGTCTCTTGGCCTTCAAGCCTCCCATTCCTCCTTCAAATTCACTTCCTTCACTTACAAGATCCTCCTTCTGTTCCTCAATCACTGATCTTGTTTTAGGACTTGGCACTAACAACCTCTCTCTAATTGGAATGCTAGTACTTCCCATCCTCACCAGTCGGATCTACTTTCATTCAAAGTGCAGCTCAAATTATACCTTCCCTAATAACCAATCTAAGGTAGCCAAGTAGTCATTCTCCATCACATCATCTCATTTCAATCTTCTGAATCTGTTCAATCATTTTCTAGTTTATTTATGTACTTGCTCATCTGTTTTCTCCACTAGTATGAGACTTCATAAGAGCATGGACTTGCCCTACATATATGATTAACAATTGCATCTCAGGGGTCTAACTCTAGAACAATACATGAACATAGTAGATATTCAATAAGCATTTGTGGGATAAATACATGTTGGCTATTTTTTATTATTGTTGTCATTATTGCTAGGCAAGCAGGGTCCCTTGTAAGTTATCTGAAGAGTTATTAATTTAACCTAAAGACTATGCAATGATGCTAGAAGAGATTTAAATAGGGAGTGGCATGCACAATCAGTGTACAATATATGGGTGTTCTGGCCAGGGTAATAACAACTCCCTTCAAATCACAGTACTAAATTTTTTTTAAGTTTGGCCATAGTTCTCACACCTAGCATTCACAAGAATCCCTACTAGGAACAAAATTAACCAAATTATATTATTATAATGTATGCATGTACAAATATGCATACATACACACACACATATATAATCTCCTCCTCCTGGAGGGCTTATGAAAAGAGGTTATCATGCCCTACCCACCCCTACCGCCAGAGTTTCAAATTCAGAAGATCTAGAATGGGTCTAAGAATTTGCATTTCTATAAATTCCCAGGTGATGGTGAATCTGTTGGTCAGGAAGCTACACTTGGAGAACCCGGACAGAGCTCTTTCTAGGAGAAAAGAGAACTAGGATCAAATGGTGACAGCCCCTTCTCCTATTGCTCCAAGCTCTGTTTCCAAACTTGTAAACCCCTCACAGCAAAATAAAAACCTCCAGCCAACTAGATCAAATCTCCTTGATGGCATTTTAGAATTCCTGTTGGTAAGGAAGGAGAAGGGAAGGGAGATGAGGGAATGAAGGGGAAGAGGATCTCACTCCCATTCTTCCACCCTCATTAGATTCTTCCTGAGCAGAACTTCACATAAATATTTTCTTCAACCTCTAAGATTTTTAGGAGAGTTCTGTTACCCCATGATAAAGCATCTTGGGTGGGATGCCTAGTCCCTTTGTCCAGCTTGAAAAACATGGTTATATTTGTGGATTTGAAAGATGCTTCTGGTTATAAGGATAAAAATGAATAGGAATGATACAAGATTGCAGACAAAAAGTTGTGAAACTATTAAGTAATCCAGGTGAGGAGAGAGACAATAGACACACAGAGAATAGAAAAAAGAATGGTTTTGAGAGTTATTTTGGAAATATAGTTGATAGGAAATAATGACTAACTATATGTAGAGAGAGGAAAGAACCAAGGATGATTCCTTGGTCTCTGCAGAACAGGGTGCATGGCATTTACTAACATAGGAAACATTGGAGAAGGATTTGCATTAAGGAGACAGAAGATAAGCCTCTTTTTTAGTCCTGCTGATTTTGAGATATCACAACCAGGTAGTGTGTCCAGGAGGCAGCTGTATAGATGAATATATGGGTCTGGCCCTCAGTAGACAAGTCTGGGCTGGAGATATAAATTTGGGAGTCATCAGCATATAGATGGTAATTAAAGCCTTGGGAGAAGATGACATCACCCAACGAGGGCATACAAAGCATGATGAGGTTTTCAACTTAAGAGTAAAATTCACTGATTCATGGGCTATCTGCATGCTGAGTTAATCACACCTGGGAAAAGCCTTGTTATTTGGTTGATGTGGCCAAATTCAAAGGCACTACCATTATTTACTGGAAACATTCTACTTAATAAAAGGCACTAGTGCCAATGATGATGGTGATGACAACAATGATGGTGATGATGAAAACAAAAACAACATGACAGCACTGGGTTCTCACTGCGTGCCAGACACTGTTCTAAGTCCTTCTCAGGTAGACTAATTGCTGAAAGTAGTTACAACCCTATGAGGTAGTTATTATTATTAGCCTCACTTTACCAGTGAGGAAACTGAGCAGAGAGAAGTTAAGTCACTTACATAAGGTCACATAATAAGTGGCAGTGTCAGGAGTCTGGTTCCAAGTCTGTGCTGTTATAAACACCCTACACACTGACTAAACCCAAATATTATTATTCAGAACACATAAAAAAGAAAAAAATTAACATATTAATGATTTTGACATACTTATTGAGAAATTCTTACACTAATTTACTCAATTCATTAACATAAAATCCATAGGCCATTGGAAAATGTAAATGCCTACTCTCTGTATTAACAGGTTCTTCCCATAGCTTTGTTTTCAACTTTTCTTAATAAACAAACAGATAACCTCTATTTTAGCTCTCACAACAACAACACACATTTTTGTGTAACTACTAATAACTAGTTTGTTAATGTAAAGATCATCTGTTCATCTTTTCTTAGAAAATACTTAATACTACTATTCAGGTATTTTAATGTCATTTTTTTCTCTTCAAAGTATTTTATTTTAGATAATTAATTTTCCAGTATCTCATATGAGGAAAAATCTATCATTTCCACTATATAAATAAGAAAACCTTCCAGGCATGGTGGCGCATGCCTGTAATCCCAGCGACTCAAGAGGCTGAGGCAAGGATTGCAAGTCAAGAGGCCAGCCTGGGCAACTTACCAAGTCCCTATCTCCAAATAAAAAATAAAAAGGGCCAGAGGTGTAGCTCAGTGGCAAAGCACCCTGGGCTCAATCCCTAGTACTGCAAAGAAAAAAGAAAAAAAACCAAAAGATGAATTACTAGTCTAGGGGAGAGTAAACTTCAGAATCAAAACCCCAAATCTAGTCCCTCCTCAAAAAATTTCAAATATTCAAATGCATGAATAATTGACATCGATATTATTACATGATAAGTTCAGCTTACCTCAGAAGATCAGAAAGAGTAATTGTTTCTCTCTGCCAAAGTAAGGACAGATAGCAGAAAGCAAGTGTCCTCGGCACAGTCATCTTCACAACTCCTTTTTCCTTTCGTTCTGAATATTCAACTCCGTCAAGAGATCCAGAACAGACAGATGCTGATTCTTAGGAGATTAAGCAAGAGTTTTTAAAATATAAGTTAACTAATTTGGAATAAAAAATCAAAAAGGCATTTTAAATATCCTAAAATGAAGTTATAATTGATAATCTTTACAAAGATCAATTTGACAATAAAAAGCAATCAAAGGTTAGAAGAAAATCAGCCAAAAATGTAATTGAGGTCAGGCGCAATGGTGTGCACCTATAATCCCAGCTACTTGGGAAGCTGAGGCAAGAGGATCACAAGTCCAAGACCAACCGGGGCAACTTAGTAAAACCCTGTCTCGAAAAAGAAAACAAAAAGGGAGGGAGGGGCTGGGTCTAAGGGTACAACTCAGCAGCAGTGAGCTTGCCTAGCATTCAAAAGGCCCTGGATTAAATTCTTAGTATATGATTTTTAAAATAAATAAAAGGATGAACAATAACAAAGCAAAGAAAAAATGTGTAACTCCTTTAATTCAGGCCTCAAATTGCATGTCCTCTTCTCAGAGATACCTTCCCAAACTCTTGAGCTAAAGCAGTACCTCCTCCCATCCCACCCTCCAGGTACCCTCCACCACATACATTACTGTGTCTTTATCCTTCATTAAGCAAATACTTATTCATCTCGTTGTTTGCTTCTCAGGAAATGCCTCTCTCTGAACTTACATTTTAGTAATGGGAGACAGACCAATAAACAAAAAAGGCAACTGGCTATATAGGAAAATAGCCACGCAGGGCCTACCTTGAAGGGAAGGGAGGAGATGTGCAATTTTATGCTGGTGGTCAGAGAGGTCTCTCTGAGAAGATGACATCTGATCAGAGACCCACCTGAATTCAGAGAAGAGACTAAGGCTCTCAGGAGGAACAACAAGTGCCTCAGCAGGAGCAAGCATGCAAGAACAGTGGGGAGAGGCATCAGTCACTAGGGAAAGTGGGAAGAGATGAAAGCTGAGAGAGAAAAAACTAGTAGGTAGGGCCTTGTTGGCCATGATTTGTATGTTGAGTTTTATTCTAAGTATGATAAGTTTCTGGAGAGTTTTAAACATAGGAGCAACATGATCTCATTTCCGTACTGGAAAGGTCACTCTGTCTGCTATATGGAGTTACAGGAGGGCAGGAATAGGAGGAGGATGGCAGAGACTGGGCTTAAGCACTTGCAGATGGTAAGAGTGGCTGATTCTAGATCAATTCTGAAAGCAGAGTCAAAAGGACTTGGTAATAGACTGAATGTAGGGTTCATGAGAGAGAAGGAGAAGACAAGTTATGAATCTAAGGTGTTTGGCCTGAGCAACAAAATGAAGATCCCATTTACTGAGATAAGGGAGATGGCAAAGAGATTTGACAAGAGAAATCAAGATGGAATTGCAATGTTCAGTGTGAGATCTTCAGTAGTAAGTAGGCAGGTGAATATAAACCTAGTATAGAGGAGAAACTAAAGATAGGGAATGTTTTACTTTCAGGATATGACCGGTGGTTGATCAAGCCATAGTATTAGTGGATGTCACCTAAAGGGTGAGGGTAGAGAAGCAGGGCTAGGAATGGCTCTAAGAAACTCCAAGTTTCCTTGAACAGAAACTCTGAAAATAATTTTTCAAAAACCCCTTTTTCAAATTCTATAAATTCTTCTTTCAGAGAACTTATCAGTAACCAAACATTTTATGTGTGCATTTATTATCTATCTCCTCTTACTATACTATAAACACCTCAAAGGCAGATAGTTTTGCTGACCATTCTGTCCCCAGAGCCCAGAACAATTCCCAGAACAGAGTAGGAACCAAAAAAATATTCAGCAACAAACTGTTCAACACCTCTAAGATTCTGTCCTAAAGAAATGGTCTCAGAAACATGCAAATGTTTGCCAAGCACCTGTAATCCCAGGGACTCAGGAGGCTGAGGCAGGAACATCCCAAGACAGAGAACAGCCTTAGCAACTTAGTGAGGCTATAAGCAACTCAGAAAGACCCTGTCTCAAAATAAGAAATAAAAAGGTTTGGGGATATAACTCAATGGTAAAGTGCCCCTGGATTCAATCCCCAGTACCAAAAAAAAACCCCAAACACACACAGATTTAAAGTGAAGGAATATTGTGCAGCACTACTAATAATATGAAAAAATTTAGAACAACCTAAGCACCAAGAATAGAAACTTAATTAAGTAATTCCACACAACTGTATACTCCATAATAATATCCATAATGCTTTAGCTCAGCAGTTCTCAAAGTACAGTCCCTGAAACAGTAGCATCAGTGTCATCTGAGAACTTAACAGAAACTTAAATTACTGTATTTTAAAAAGCTCTCCAGAAGATTCTGTCAAATGCCAACATTTGAGGACCACTGCTTTAAAAGAAGTAGAATGCAGATTTCCCCCAAATACTGTTATACACACACACACACACACACACACACTTTTCATATAGTCCTCTCATCATGTAAGGACCTCCAGTTAAGATGGCAGATTAAAAATACTTTAGCTTCTGCTCTCTCCCACTACAACAGTTATTAATTGTTAAAACTATAAAAATCCAAGAACAAATAACATGGAAAAGGAGATAACAGCAAAAAATAGAAGCTGGAAAGCATATGGCTAGGTAAGGACTGCCTTGGCAGTTAGTGAAAACTAGATCCAAAGTGAGCAGCAGAAAGGCCAAAAGGCAATCTAATTTTTCACTAGAGATCCCTAAAGGTGGCTCAGGAATTGATTAAATTAGATACCCCTAGAAACTGGATGAGGGCAGGAATAACACCAGGAGGACTGCTTGAAAGTCTTGATTTAAAAACAGTTAAGGCTCGGGGATATAGCTCATGGCTACAGTGGTACAGCACTTGTCCACCATTCAGGAGGCCCTGGCTTCAGCCCCATTTAACAATAAATGCAAAGAAGGGAAGGAGGAAGATGCCCACACACCCAGATTCTTAACCCAACTCTATACAGCCATGTGACTGCCCCTCCCCAATCTTGGCATAAAATTGGAAGTCTCTCCTCTACAGAGTAAAATAAAGGGTATCTAGAATAAGGTAAGTCACTAACATTGCATGGTGGAAAATGAAAAAAGGAGAATTAAGTGAAAGTCCATGTGCTGAGTACTGTAACAAACTCCCAACCCCCTCCAGGCTGCTTCTTGCCCAGTTCCCAGAACACTGATTGCCAGGATTATACACTTGCTAAAGAGAAGACTCAAAGAGATTTCTCTGGGGAATCTGATCAACATGTTGGGGGTGGGGTAAATGGGTGGAGATTTAAAGATAACAATGGAGGTTCACTAAGAAAATAACCCATCTAGATCACCCCTGTCAACAGAGCTGACAAGACTCACCACATGCACAAAACTTTCGTGTGTGTCTCTCTTTCTGGACTGTTTTTATTTGTATTGGTGCTGAGCATCAAAATCAGGGCCTCTACTGATGAAAATCTCCCCAGCTCTTTTGTTTCCTCCATTCTTTTTTATTTCTATTTTTTTTTAAATTTGTAGTTTGACACAAATCCTTTATTTCTTTACTTTTTTGTGATGCTGGGGATTGAACCTAGTACCTAGCTCATGCTAGGCAAGCGCTCTACCACTGCACCACAACCCCAGCCCCTCCTCCATTTTTACCTAAGAAGAGCCACCATAGATTCACTAAAAATGTGAAGAATGTCTCTATCATAAAAAACAGGAGTGAAAATAATCAAATCAGAGAGAAAATCATTAATATCCTCTGTGAAATAAGAAAAGGTGCTCCACAAAAAAAAGAGGAAATAAACCAGGAAAAAAGATTAAGTGAAATCCAGAAAATAAGAAAATCAACAAAAGAGAAGTGACAGAATCGCAGGATGGTAGTAAAAGAGATTCCAAAGTTGGCCAGGCCATAGGTCTTGGGACAGATGCTGGAGAGAATTCTTTCAGAATATAAAATTAATACAACATTTAAAGTAAAGAGAAGATTTTTAAGAACTGAGAGAAGGTATAAAGACACATTAGTAATAAATTATAGATTAGTACAAAAAGAAAAAATTATAAATTAGTAATAAATAGAAAAGTAATCAAATAACAATAATTAACTCAAGGAATATTAAAGGATACACAGAAAAATCATAGTAAGCTATATGTTTCAGTTCTGAATAGCATTTTTACATTTATAATCATTTAGGCACTAAATACTGATCTAGTTTAAAAAAAAAAAGTATAATTGGATTGGCAAGATGGAGAATGAGAAATACAGAATCATGTTCTGGGGATGATCTGGGGAAGAGAGGCAGCAGGGATGTATGAAAGAGCTAAGACTCCATCTTCCACAATTGGGAATTCAATAGCTAACGTCCCAACCAGAAATTAAGATAATACTTGAGGCATGTGATTCGGAGATATAGACGTTACAAAAAATTGAAAACAGTGTCTCTTGGGAAAAAAACATTCAGGGGGATGGTGAACTACACACTTTTTTGTTGTTGCTGTTTTTGCAATTTTTCATAACAAGATTTGGAAATGATCTGAATTACACACTGTAGAATTTTAATTAAGAATTTAAAGAAAGGGGCTGGGATTGTGGCTCAGCAATAGAGCACTTGCCTAGCATGTGGGAGGCCCTGGGTTCGATCCTCAGCACCACATAAAAGTAAATAAATAAAATAAAGGTATTGTGTCCAACTACAACTAAAAAATAAATACTTAAAAAACGAATTTAAAGAAAGCAGAAACAGTTTACAATTTTGCAAAAACAAAACAAAAATCTTTCCCTTTATATACATGAAGAAAGAACTTCTAGATGATCAACCACAGCAGTAGTGGTTATTTCTGGGTGGTTCAAAAACCAGTGATCTTATTTATTTATTTTTTTTTTTTAAGAGAGAGAGAGAGAGAATTTTTTTAATATTTTTTTTTTTTTTAGTTTTCGGCAGACACAACATCTTTGTATGTGGTGCTGAGGATCGAACCCGGGCCGCACGCATGCCAGGCGAGTGCGCTACTGCTTGAGCCACATCCCCAGCCCCTGATTTTATTTTCTTTGCGACTATCTTCATCTAATAGTTCTGTATTGAGGTGCATTCATGAATTTAGCATAAAACCTAACAGGTCTAAAGATCATCATCTACTAAAAAAACAAACAAAAAATCCTTAACAAAGGTAAACAAAACAATCGTGATGCTTTAAAAGTAATCAACATCTTCTTTTAAAAGGCTTGCATGGTTTTAGAGTCACAGTATGTATGAGACTAATGAGTTTAAGGTTGTCTGAAAACACGAAGAAAATTCCAAAGACTCATTGCTGTCCAATCATCCTCTGATTCTAACACTTGACTTATTTGGACACAAAAACTAACTTATCTGACATCTGTGTCACTGTGCAGTCCAGCAAGACATGGAGATATGCTGGCTGATAACAATTTTTAACCTTTGGCAAGTAAAGGTTTGCAAAGAAACAGTCCATACAAGAAATATTTTGTTTCAAGCTGGGGCTATGGCTCAGTGGTAAAGTACTTGCCTAGCATGGGTGAGGCACTGGGTTCGATCCTCAGCACCACATAAAAATAAAGAAAGAAAGAAATATTTTGTTTCAAATTTTATATTACCACTGTAAGCTCTAGATTTCAATAAACAGGGCTGGGGATGTGGCTCAAGCGGTAGCATGCTCGCCTGGCATGCGTGCAGCCCCGGTTCAATCCTCAGCACCACATACAAACAAAGATGTTGTGTCTGCCGAAAAACTAAAAAATAAATATTAAAATTTAAAAAAAAAAAAGATTTCAATAAACAACGTCTAATACCAGAGAAGTTGGAGCCTATTTCCCAAAGAAATCTTATCAGCACACATCAAGATTGTTATAACCTGTAACAAAAGCCTGGTTAAGTTCTCTGTGGTCTGTTTTCCACCATGATTTTATAAAGAAAAAAATATACTGAAGGAACAACTAAAACAAATAAATATTTTATGGAGAAGGTCTATATCCATAATCTTAAGTATATTCTTAAATATTTAAAGTTATAGAATAAAATTAAAAAGTAAGACATACACATAACAGTAAATTTTATTCAGCTTGCTTTAAGCTATACTTAGAAACTGTATATTATCATGCAAAGTTACATTTTTTCTGCTACAAACTTCTTTGAAAATTCTAAGCCCACATTACACACACACACACACACACACACACACATTCTTTTTTGATCTAGCTTCCTTCTTTCTGGATCTACTTTCTCTTTATCTCCCTTCAAAAATCATACAAATTTACTCACCTGGAGATAATGTACCTTTTTAAAAACTGTACCAAAATTTTATTTAATTTGCCTTTTTCTCAGGCATGAGATTCAGGAAGTCATTCTTCATTAGATCAAATTCCCTTTCTTAGAATATCACAAGATAGGATTAAACTATTTTTAAGATGCAGTACTAGCTTTAAAATTTTGAACAGTTTAAGTTCTGATTTTTACCTCGTTGTGATGCTTTGGTGATGGGGAAAGGCTTTTGAGTTTGGGCATCAGGCTGAGACTCTGCTCCACTTTCAACAAAAGATAGATGGCTAACATCACTCAGCAACTCAGGCTCACTAGCCCAGTCCGACTGACTTAGGTCATCTTCCAAAACCTGTTCACAAAATAATTTAAATAAAAATATTGCACAGGAGTTTAAAACAGCTAATTTCTGTGAACTTCTTTACCATCATAAATACCATAAGAGAAATATTACAGAGAGCTGCCAAGTCCCTAACTCTGAAAAGTATTTACTTCTGAAACACAATCCTGGATAGCCCCTAGCAATGCTTCTTAAAGAAGGGCTACAGGGGCTGGAGTTGTAGCTCAGTGGTAGAGTGCTTGCCTCGCACACATGAGGTCCTGGGTTCGATCCCCGGCACTACATAAAAATGAACAAATAAAAATAAAGATTTAAAAAAAAAAGAAGAAGAAGAAGAAGGGCTACAGACAAGGATGAGTGAAGAAATGCGGCCAGCAGAGCAGAAGGGTCTCCTCCTCCCCCCACCCCCACACTTCTATTATAGCACTAATATCCTCATAATGAAAACATCAGACAAATAATGGCTTCATGCACACTGTCTGGCTTCCTTCTACAAAACCTACCTGGGGAATTTTTGCTTTCTAATCTTGTTCATTCTGTTTCTCCTGCTTGAACTGTCTTTCTTTTCTTCTCCCTCTCTCCAATCATTACTTCGTCTAGTATGCTCTTTCCAACCCACTCTTCTTCTATGATTTCTCATTTCTTTGAATTCCTATAGCACTTACTGTTTATAACGTATAATTGACAAGGATGTACCATCTCATCCCATTGGTTGATAGGTCACACACGCAGTGTGAATGAAGTGATCAGTGTCACTAAGAAGGTCAGCTGGCTGGCTAACAACCTCATTAGCTGACCTTACCTTGAGGAACTGGTTGCAAGCAAAAAGCATCAATATTAGCCCTTCAGATCAAGAAACTTGATCCTATTACAAGTTGATAAGACATATTTAAGAAGCTCACTAGAGAATGAAACTTAAAAAAAAAAAAACAAGGAATGGGATAAAATGCTGGCATTTTCTGTCAAGCATAACTCCTCCCTCCCTGTGGGAAAGCCACAAAAGGTAAGGCATGGACTCTAAGAAAACTGAAGCAATCAGAAGAAAACTTCTGGGAATGGGCTGGTGGCTCAGCGGTAGAGCACTCACCTAGCACCTGCAAGGCACTGGGTTCAATCCTCAGCACCACAATAAAACAAGTAAATAAAAGTATTGTGTCAACTACAAATAAGAAAGAAAAAAACCCCAAACTTCCACAGGCTCCTGCAGCAAGCGCCTATGAGCAGCTCACATTATCCTTTGCCCTCTTCCCAATTCTTCTGGATCATCCAAATTCCCACCTATAGCCAATTTCTCCATTTGTGCAATCGATTCTACTTCTCTTACCTATTTAAAGATAACACTTCCATTTTTTTCTCTCCATTGTGAATATTTCTTCTCTCCTGTATCATTCCATCAGTACACAAATATGCCCTCATTTATACTACTCTTTTAAAAACTTCCTCTTGACCTCAGCTCCCACACAATTTCTCTGTACTTCTTTGCAGCAAAATTCTTCAATAAAGTTCTGAAGTGCTATCTCGAATTTCTCTTCTCTCAATCTATTTATGCCCCAACTGCAATCAATTAACTCCCTGGTGACGTCCACCAGCCTTATGGTTTTAAATATTAGCTACTATACTTTAATTATGAAATATACTTTATCCCCATATTTTAACATCCTTGAAATCACAATGTAGATTATAATTGGTGGTACATCATGATTTAATCTGCAGCATTTTTTTTCTGAGTACTTCCAATAATGGTGTATCTTATAAACAACAGCATTCTAGATTTAATGATGGTAATGCAAACTGACAGCTTTCAAATTTCTATCTCTAGCCTAGACTTTTCTCCTGAACTACAGACTTAAATGTCTAACTGCACTTGACATTTCCTCTTGGATGTCTCACACCTGTCTCAAACTTTTAATATGCCCCAAACTGAATTCCTGATGTTCTTGTTCCACCTGCCATTTCAGTTGATGGTAACTCCTTGCTTCAGCTGCTCAGGCCAAAAACTTTATAGTCACCCTTTTCTCTCCCACACCCCACATCCAGTCCATCAGGAAATCCTGTTGGCTCTATCTTCAAAGTTTATCTAGGATTCAACCACTTATCTCCAAGGATACCATTTGTTCCCAGCCCCCACCAGGGCTTACCTAGGGCAGTGCTTCTCAAACTTTAGTAGATAAAGAAAGCATCTAGGGGTCTGTTAAAATTCAGATTTAGGTTTGGTCTGGGTGAGGCCTGAAATTCTGCATTTCTTATCCATATCCCTGTATCTTCTCTCTCACTTCCTTAAGCTCCATCCTCAGGAAGGCCTTCCAAACCACCTGATAACACAGCATCCTTCCCTGCAGTCCCACTCTTATTCCCCTTACCCTGATTTATATATTTGCTTGTTTATTGGTTTTCTTTTGCAAGTTTCCAGTAGATTCCACCCTAGATTCCACAGCTCAAGGTAGTAGGACGAGGATTCAAATACAAGCCTCCTACTGCTTCTGAAATAGTCACACCCAAAGCACTACAAAAAAATATTTATTGGGTGTTTGAGAAGGTTAAGCTTCTAAGTCCTTCCTTTCTTTTGCAATGCTAGGGATAGAATCCAGCGCCCTGAACATGCTATGTAAGAGGTCTACCACGGAGTCACAGACCAGCCTCCAAGCTTCTAATTCAAAAGTCAGGGTTCCCCATCCTTTCAAAAGACAGTATAGGAGCAGGGGATATAGCTCAGCCATAAAGTACTTGCCTAGCATGTATGAGGCCTTGAGTTCAACCCTCAACACCTACTCCCAAACACACACATACAAGCACACATGTAAACACACAACAATATAGCTGTACTTTAGCAACTGAAATTATACTACTAATTTATATATTAGCTTAAAATTTTTCTTTGTGCTTATTTATTTACCAAGATTTGAGTGTGACACTAATACTGCTTTATCTAGATGTTTACTCAAACCAACAAAACCTTTTGGTTTTAAATCTTACGCTAACTTGAAAATATTTAAATGCCACAGAGAACCCTAGGTTTCTATTTTATATTTTCTATGTGTTAGACAAGTCCCAAATACAATCAACGAATACCTCAGCTAAGCTCAGGAGGCTGAGCTGGAGTATCTCAAGATGGGAGGCCAGCCTCAGCAACTTAGGACCTATGAAACTTAGTGAAACCCTGTCTCAAAATAAAAATTTTAAAAAGTGGGGTGGGTTGGTGATGTAGCACAGTGGTCAAAAGCCCCTGTTCAATCCCCAGTATCAAAACAAAACAAAAAAAAAACACAACATAATATAAAAAATCTCAGGCTGGGGTTGTGGCTCAGTGGTAGAGTGCTCGCCTAGCATGCATGAGGTACTGGGTTTGATTCTCAGCACCACGTAAATGTAAAAATATTGTGTCCACCTAAAACTAAAAAAAAAGAAATATTTTAGGGGCTGGAGATGTGGCTCAAGCGGTAGCGCGCTCACCTGGCATGCGTGCGGCCTGGGTTCGATCCTCAGAACCACATACAAACAAAGATGTTGTGTCCGCCAAATACTAAAAAATAAATATTAAAAAATAAAAAAAAAAAAAAAATCTCAGCTATGAAATCTTAAGATCAAGTTGTTACTAGTTTGGTTGCTATTTTCTCTTCTAAATTGTCATCTTAGAACCATACAGTATCTTTTGCTTTTCTTGCGAAGTACCTGTCTTCTATATCAAGATAGGATAATGTGTCATAACTCTGACCATAAAATGTTATTTTCCTGGTACATTCAAGTTATTTTTCTTGAGTTTAAATTCATGGTGTCACATTTTTAAGAAGTTTCTCAAACTAATTCCTTAATTTTTCTTCCCCCTGTAATCGTCTCCTGCATGACTTGCTTACTCTAAACTTCTCACTCTTAAGACCAGCAGCACTGCAGATACTAACAGCTCAGAGATGCCTCCTTGTCTCACCTCTGTAACCTCTTCCTTTCACACAGACCTGGGCTTCTTGGTGCCAGGTCACTGAACTCCGCATGTTGAGCCTGAGGACCAGAACAAACAAGGAAACACAGGAACAAATTCCCAAGCTCTTAGCAAATGGGAATCAAACAGATTAAGAATCTCTTCTTCTCAGTCCTGGAGGGCAAGTACTGCATATCAAACACAGCAAACTGGCCTTTCTTAGCAGTGCAACTGTCTTTAAACCAAACAAATGTTTCATGACACATCGGCAAAGCAGTCAAAAACAAGCTGCCAAAAATACAGCTGCTCCAGTAGATGTAGGGAACGGGGTACATGGGCTTGTTTTTCCCTCACATCAAGGCTTCTGAGGGCTGGGGTTATGGCTCAGCGGGAGCACTCACCTAGCACACGTGAGGACCTGGGTTCGATGCTCATCACCACATAAAAATAAAATAAAGAAAGGTATTGTGTCCAACTACAACTAAAATAAATATTAAAAAAAAAAAAGGCTTCTGAGAAGAGATAACTGAGCTGAATCTTGAAATGCCAGGTAAAGTAAATAAGTACTCCAAGCAAAAAGAGTAACATACAAAAAAGAAAACAAACAAACTTTTAATAATAGCACATTTAGAAATTCCTTAAAATTTCTACCTAGGGCTGGGGTTGCAGTTCAGTGGTAGAGTGCCTGCCTGCCTGGCACTTGTGAAGCACTGGGTTCGATCCTCAGCCCCACATTAAATAAATAAATAAAGTTATTATGTCCATCTACAACAAAAATATTTTTTAAAAAGCTTCTATCTAAAAAATTAATTAGTCTAATAAGAAGTCAAAATTCATTTTGATGTCTAAATCAGAGACCCTGTCCTGGACTAAACTGAAAGCTTCTTCACCAAAATCCTCTTAAAACATCACAATCCCATACTCAAACTACTCACAAACCCCATATTTCCAGCTCTGTCTCACTACACATCTTTTAGTCCCACTTCTCAGACTTGTGACTTACCTTAGCTTTCCTTCCACTGGTATATATTGGGTTTTTACAATATGCCTGCTTGCTCTTCTGAAGGTAGCGCTTCCAAAAATTATGTAAAACTTCATTCTAAGGTGGAAGGGAAATGAGTGGTGATTCAGGTTATGACAACAAATGTTCAAGTGCATATGTACCACAGAACCTCTTGTACTTTATATACTGCTTTCACCTAAATGCCTGCTTTTCCTCAAGTAGAAAGATAGCATAATAGCAGGTATGTGGGGAAAATGTAATAGCTCTTCTTAATCTTACATTTCAAAGAAGAAAAGGACATTATAGATCACTTAGTTAAACCCTTTCTCTTACATTTTAATTAAGGATCAGAGAAAGAAAACAACTTATGCATCACTATGTTTCTAGTCAGGGTCAAAGCCCCTAACCCCTAGCACTAATAATGATTTCTTCTTAATTCTACTCTGAATCTTACTCTTCCAGCAATGAAATGTAAAGGTAACATCTAGATACTGGAAGACTTACCTTTAACTCAGGGCCCACTCCAAGGGCCTTTAGGGCTTCTGCTTGTTGGTAAAGTATGTGCTGAAAACCTTCACACACATACCAATCCCAGCCTTTTTCTAAATGACAAATAACCACATGTTAGACTTTGCACTCCTAATTTACTAACTCGATGCTACTACATAGTTACAATTTGTGTTTATACACTGTAACTTGAATTTTTCTGTGCTCCTGAATAGTTTCAATTCTTACATTCTCTTGTTTCTAGTCTAGAAAATTTGTACACAAATGCTAAAATTAAGCATTTTATATAATTTCATATTTAAATGTTTTCCATCAACTGTGATTTTTCTGAAATATTAACCTATAAGGGAGAAAAATAAGTAGTTAGCACACTAAAAAAGTGAAAAAAGTTTTTGAAATGATATTTTACCAGACATTGTCAAACAGAATCCTAAATGAAAGCACTCAGTCATTGCTTCCATCACTCACAATAGCCCAGCAAATTACTTGGCAAAAGATGACAAATATCAGGATCTGATAGTCCAAGAGTGTGAAAAAGGCAAAAAGAACATTCAAAGAAAATAAGCTGTTCAATGGCATTCTACTTTTGCAGATATAATTTTACATTATAGGGAGAAACTGAAAGCAAGAAATCTAATACTTCCTGATCTCTGCCCACATACCAAGTGCGTACTAAAGTATTTTAAGTAAATTATTTTCTTGAATCCTCAAAACCATCCTAAGACATTATTAAGAAATATGCCACCACAATAGACAGCAACAGACAGAGCAAATGTTAAATGACTATGGCAACCAGTTAAAGAAAACATTAAAATTGTAACACCACGATGTGTTTTACTCCTCATTACAGGATAAATATAAGTATGTTATCAATTCTTTAAAAACAGCTTCTGAAGTCTGTTACTGTCTTCCAGAATCCTTCTCCCATACACGTGGCAGAGGACTCAACCCATCTCCCCTACTTGAATGTCTCAGTGTCTCCCAACACCCTCCGACTAACTCAATCCCATCCTGGAAGGGATCTCAGGGTGTAACAGAAAGCTTGTATTTCTGATGCATCCATACACTGTCCCAGCATGCTGTTTCAGAAACTTAGAAACTGATAAAATGGCATTTTAAATTCTGAGTCTATTCCTATTTTACAAAATAAATGATATTACTCTTTTCATTTCAGAGATGAAGAGACTAAGAAGATACGGTTGACTATAGACACTTAACCCCTTATTAAGCACCTGGAGTTCCTTGAGGAATTTACAATTAAACTTCACATTGTAACTATTTAAACACATCAAGTCTGAATTAATCAGGATTTACTCTGATAAAATTTAAGAAAAATTAATCAGGTTTTAGTCCAATTAAAATTCAAGTGCTAAAATTAAGAATTTTGTATAATTTCAGATTTTAAATGTTTTTCATTAACTGTGATTTTTCTGAAATATTAACCTAAAAGGGAGAAAAATAAATAGTTAGCATACTAAAGTCATCATTAAAAGCAGGGAACATGAGTTAGTATTTAGGCATTCTCTGTTATTCATCTAAGAATGTCAATGTATTCCATGTAAATATTTAATTTTCATTCATATATATATATATATATATATATATATATATATATATATATTTGCACAATATTTTACGTATGTGTTATCTTCACAGCTACCTCATGTAGAAAAGTCTACTATTATCATTACCCTGGTTTCAAATTTGAGAATCTGGTCCTAGGTCATTAGTCACAAAAATAAAACGCTTCAGTGGACTTTACCTCCAATCCTTCTCAATAATGGTTAATTATATGTACTCATTAGATTAATAAAATAGATTATCTTTCCAAGCACACCCATGCTGAGGCTATTTTAAGGGAAAATAATCTTCCTATTTTAAAAGGGTGTGCTCAAAATTCAACATGAGAAATGGGCTTCTGAAAGTTTATTGTGTTTAACTCACCTAACTACAGTTGAATGATTGTGGACAATAAGCATTTTCCTTGAAAAGCATAGAAAATCATATTTCTAATCAATAATAGACATGCAACAGAAGAATATATGCCAGTAGATAAAAATAAATGTTCCTTTTGCTATTATTATCTTTTGCATAATAGTTGCTCCACTGGAAAAGCAACTCAATGACAGTAATAAGGATTTAATAAAAGGTATGATTTAATACATCTGCTTCCAATTTTACCATCAATTGTTACCAATTTTAATTCAATTTTGGAATATCTGCTGTAAAGCTAGCATTTTCTCTAGAATCTATTTAAACTTCCATTCCATGCCCCCAAATCATGACAGTGAAAGATGTGAATAAAGAATGTTAAGTGTGAGGCTGGGGCTCAGTGGCAGAGTGCTTGCATGTGTGAGGCACTAGGTTCAATTTTCAGCACCGCATACAAACAATTAATTAATTAATTAAAGGTCCATTAATAACTAAAAAAATTAAAAGGAAAAACAAAAGTTAAGCACAAATGAAGAACGAGCTTACCATGCTTTCTTTTTCTTTTAAGCCCCCTGTTGATGGTTTTTATCTTGGCATTAGGAATAGCATCAGTGTTTATGACTTCCTTAGATCTCTACAGGAAACAAACACAGACCTTATGAAGGTTTTACATCTCCCATAGCATCAAGTATGCTCTGAGAAGTATAATAAACCAAATTGCAAATGCCAAGACCAATCATGGTCTTGGGAAAATCATATAAGTTGTAATATTCTGGCTAAACTTTATGTTGCTTTTTCATTAACAATTTCTTTCTTTTTTTTTCCCCCCCAGGGCTGAGGATGGAACTCAGAGGAACTCAGGGCCTTAGGTGTTTACTAGGCAAGCATGCTCTGCCACCCCCAACAATTTCTTGATTCTTAAAACAGTGCCTAAACATAGTAACCACGAAGTGTCTGTTAAATGAATAAACTTTATTTTAAATCACTGATTAACTCTATTAAACAAAATCAAAAGTCAAATTTACTTTTTTTCTTTCCTCCACGCAAAACACACTTGGGCATTAAAATAATTTCTGTATTTGCCATACTATTGATGCCTCTTTTTCCATGTGTTTGAATATTACTCTATAACTGCTTTCATGTCTAAAATTATAAAAGTACTATTCTTTGTTTTTAGTGAAACTTACAGAATTTTAGAATGATTAACTGATTAATATAATTCATACCAGTCTTTTTTTAATATTTAGTTTTTATTATAGATGGACACAATATCTTTTTTTTTATATTTGAAAACATGGGAAGTAGTTGTTTATATGGTAGTCCATTTATATCAGTATTACAGAATCACTTCAAATATGAATTTAATCTCCTAAATTATTTCTAACAATTTTTTTCTGCATGAGTTTTTAGTTTGCACATAAACAATGATGTGTAACATCAATTATGATTTTTTTAATAATTTAGATCAACCTCCTTACCCTACCTTCATAATGTTTCTATATCAGATTCCCTAAATTTGAGCCAATATTTTGTCTAATATAACATTTGAAAAATCAGAGAAATTGGACACAATATCTTTATTTTATTTTTATGTGGTGCTGAAGATCGAATCCAGTACCTCACACATGCTAGGTGAGCAGTCTAGCTCTGAGCTACAACCCTAGCCCCATACCAAAGTCTTTTTCTTCCTACTGCTCTCAAGATCAAGTGTCTAAGATTCTGGCTTTCTCACAACCAAAAATGAATGAAATTTATCTTTAACTCTCATTAGAAATAAAAGATGACAGGATTTTTGGGATGTAGTCTATCTAGTCACAGAAAATATTTTCAAAGCAATTTTAGTGTACTAGGTTGGTCACACTGAGAACATAAGACATGTCAAAGTAAATACAAAAGCAGTTATCTAGCAATAACAAGTAAAACTTATAAAGGATAGTCAGGAAAAAAAGGCTCAAAATACAGATTATACAAAATGTGAAACAACAAAAAAACTAGAAAAAGCTAAATATCTAAAATTAGAGCTGTAAGTAAATTACTGAATGATTATATTAAGGAATTACTTAGAGTCAGCAAAAATATCTGCAAATGTTTAGAATATCACAAATAAAAAGATCTCAGATCCCCTTACCTCTCTCATACATAGGAAAAAAAGACGAAAAGGAAATTCTTGGGCTGGAGTTGTAGCTCAGTGGTAGAGCACTTGCCTAGCATGTGTGGCACTGGGATTGATTCTCAGCACCACATAATCAAATAAAGGTCGACTGATAACCCAAAAAAAATATGTTAAAAAAAAAAAAAAAAGGAAATTTCTGAAATGTGTTGAGATCATTAATTTAAGCTTTCATCTTCACAATTTCAAAATTTCCTACAATAAACATGTATTGCTCTTATAATCTTAAAAACCTATTAAACTTATATAATTCCAGCCTATACACTTTTATTAAATATCCATGAAATATCATAAAAATATCTATTATTTAAGTTGGCCAAATTTAAGACCTTACATTTTTTTTCCTGGATAAAACACATCAATAAGTTTCCTATTCCTTA